CTGAAAAACAAACTGAGGGTTCTAGAGGGGAGGGGGGTGGGAGGATGGGTTAGCCTGGTGATGGGTATTAAAGAGGGCACATTCTGCATGGAGCACTGGGTGTTCTATGCAAATAATGAATCATGGAACACTACATCAAAAACTAGTGATGTAATGTATGGTGATTAACATAACATACTAAAAAAGAAAAGAAAAGAAAGAAATAAAGCAAAAGAAACTTCTATTTTCTTTCTCTTTTTTTAAAGATTTTATTTATTGATTGATTTATTGATTTATTGATTTATTGATTTATTTGACAGAGAGAGACATAGCGAGAGAGGGAACACAAGCAGGGGGAGTGGGAAAGGGAGAAGCAGGCTTCCCACTGAGCAGGGAGCCCGATGTGGGGCTGGATCCCAGGACCCTGGGATCATGACCTCAGCCGAAGGCAGACGCTTAACGACTGAGCCACCCAGGCGCCCCAGAACTTCTATTTTCATGACAATCTTTTTCCTCAGTCATTGCCCTCCAATATAAATGAAAATGTAAAATTTCTGAACACCATAGTCTGAGGCACCACTTGATTTTTAAATGTGTAGTAGTCATTGAAGAGAACCTGAATTTCTCCTTCCACTTGGTATTTCAAGAAAATCTAAAATATCCCAAGTAAAAATGATTTGTATTTTAAAGTGACTATTTGTGCATGCACAACTCTGATTTTGTGTACACGAGAAAGACATCTTGGTTATGTGCAAGGAGTCATCCTACCGCACTATTTTTCCTATTTGAAATGACAAACAAGCTGACGTTAGTCTCTTTGATTTAAAAAGGAAGAAGAAAAAATAATTAATTAATTAATTAATTTAAAAAGAAGAAGAAATCACAATCATGATACAATCAAGGTATAACCACTATCAATGTTTAGGAGAAGTTTACAAAGACCATAAGCTGGCATTGGCAAGAACACCATGGTAGACTTTTTTGTAAATTTATTTTTTATTTAATTAAATATGGTATAAAGGCTGGTAGAAGTGTAATATATAATTGTGTAAATAAATCCTGTTAATAGAGAGATGTGCAGATTCATTTTTTACTGTATCTTGAAACTTGTGAAATAAAGAATCCACCTCTGGTTTTTTAAAAATCCCATTTACCCACCGAACAATTATTTACTGATCATTTTCAATGTGTCAGGCAACATGCTAGGTACCAGAGATCCAATAGAGAACAAAAAAGATAAGACCTCTGCAGTCATATTCTACTGCAATAGAGCTGGGAATGGGAGGAGACAACACAGAAGTAAGTAAATAAAATCATTTCATGTTGCCATAAATGCTGAGGAAAATAAGCAGCGTTCTTATTGGGGAAACTTATATGGGAGAGAATCTCAGAGGAGAACATAATTTAGAGAAGGTAGACAGGGAATGCCTCCCCACAGAGGTGATTTTCTGAGAGTGAAGAGAAGAACCGGGCTTGCTGGCTGCTAAGAGCTTAAGTAACATGGTGAGAAGTGGTCATTGAATTGCAAAACTGGAAGTAACGATGAGCAGGAAGGTTAGAGGATGGTGGTCACAGAGATGATGGATGTGGCACAGGCTCTGGTGATGGCAAGGTCTACATGCAATTAAGAACACTTCAGTTAAAAGCAAGGTGGTCCGGACCCCTGGGTGGCTCAAGTTGGTTAAGCATCTGCCTTCGGCTCAGGTCGTGATCCCAGGGTTCTGGGATGAAGTCCCACATCAGGCTCCCTGTTCAGCGGGGAGGTCAAGGGGCCGAGAGTTTATTGGGTGTCAGAGTCACCACACACAGTGACAAGAATGGGAATGAGAAGCAAAGTCTAAGCTAGGAGCTGAAGTCTTCAGTGCATGAAGCAGAAAGATCAGGGGTAAAGGCAGCCAACAGCCCAAGGAGGAGGAAGGGAAGTTGAGCAGGACACACACACTTCACAGAAGCAGAAGCTCTTGCCGGTGGACATGTTCTGGAAGCAGCAATGAAGTCCAAGGAAATCGTTCCCTGTCTTCTGGCCTGAGGGACAGGTGGTTCAAGGAAATAAAGTTGTGTTTTCTTGAGAAAGTACAAGGGAAGCAGAGTCTTGGGGGCCAGCCAGGTTTCATGTAGAGAAAGTCATGGGAGACAAACATTCCAGAAGCCTCTGGAGATTAAAAGGGAATTTGATGACCACAAGCAGAAGGTCCAGGGGGCACAGTGGAAGGCTGATTTCATTTTTGTTCTTGGCAGTGGGGCAGGAGAGAAATAATTAGGGTACATGTAGAGACACACAAACTATAGTCTGGATAATAATGGACAGCTGGGGAATCTTGAAATTTACTAGGTCACTGGGATAAAACATTATTACTACTACTATAAAATAATAATAATAACAATTATTATTTATAGTTGTTAGTAGTAGAAGACGTAGCAGCAGAAATATATTGACAGTTTTATATCAGGCCTGTGCTAAGTACTTCCCATGCAGTCAACTGATAACTCCATGATCTTCCAAAGCTCAGGTCAAATTTCAGATCATCTGTGAAAACTTTATGGACTTCGGGTCATTGATCAGGGTAAAGATAGATTCAGGGTTTTGACCTCATTCTGGCAGTTTCTGAGAAGACAGAGACAAATGGTTTTAGAGTTGAAACTCCACAAACATTTGGCTCAATGCTAAGGAAGATTTGGGCAGCTGGTTTATGTGGCTACCTAAGCTGGTGTATGGTGATGAGGGGTTACTCACACAATCTTCTTGCACTAGAAAAAAGCACTCCCCACCCCCACCCCACCCCACTTAAAGCTCAGCTAGTACAAGGACCATGATGCCTGGAGGTGGCTCCCATCCACGGTGCTTTATTTCTCTGCTCTTTTGCTCAATTTGCTAGGATACTCCTAATCAACCCAGAAGACTTAATTCCATTTATTCATTCAACAAATATGTGAGAGCAATTATTATAGGCTATCGACCATTCTAGACATTGGGGTTACAGTGGTTAACTGGAGGGTTGGATGATAGATAGATAGATGATAGATAGATAGATAGATAGATAGATAACCCCTAAGAAACTTTCCCCACCACTCCCTTCACCACTAGGCTGGTGGCCCCATGCATTATTCCCACAGCACATCATTTATTCATTAGTTTTCCAATAACATGCTGACAATTCTATATGTGTATCTCTAGGCCAGTCTTCTCCTCAACCATCCTTTTCAAGTCTAAGTAAGATCATGTTACTTCTCTGCTCAGAGCCCTTCAATGGCTCTCTAGTTTACCCAGAGTAAAAGCCAAGGTCTTTACAATTTTTATCCCTAAGAGAGGACACCACCTTGTAAATCTTGTCTTCCATGTCTTCCCTTATGCAATCATTGCAAGAGCTGTAGGAAGGATGTAGTCAGATGAACAGTAGATGGTAGGTAGGCTGATTCATCCCACTGACAAAAGAACTAAATTCTTGTCCTACTTTTCATTTAATATAGCAGGGTATCAAATAAACTTTTCTCGATTCCCTAATCATTCTTTGCTTGGGAAGGAGGAAAGTTTTCATACATGAATGAAATTGTATGATTATAGTTATTAAGTTATTACAATAAATGAATTTTATAAAATAAATCATTTTCCAAGGGAAAAAAAATCTCTTTTTGCAAGTGCTTGGAAAACTGAAATGGTCATGAGGATTTTATATTTAGCCTTGCTACAATTTTAAGTTGTAATTTATGACTTTGAACTCTTCTGTGTTTACAGAATACCCCAAAAACAAAAAAAAAATTCAATCCAAATACAGCTGCATTTTATATCTACATTTAGTGCGCTAACTAAATCATTGCTTGAAGGTAATATTCTCCCAAATAGCTCAAGAATTATTGACCTACAGGATGATGGAGTACATTCTATTGTGTTACAGGCAAAGCTAAGATGAAAATTCAGGACACTCTCCTTTCCATCTTGTGTTTACTCTGTGCATGTGTGTGTGTGTGTGTGTGCATGTGCATGTGTGCATGCACGCACACGCACATTTTTGGAAGGTTATATAATTGATAACCACAGATAACAAACATAGTATGAAAACAATAACTGATTTACTATGATCATAGACTCAAATCAATACTAGTAGTTTTATCCCAATAACACTCAGATAATTTAGCATGAGAAAATCTATTAATGTAATGCAGCACATTAACATTAAATGAATGATAACATGTAAGTAACCCAAATATATATAATATAAAATGTGAAACTTTGGTTCAGAATGAAGCATGGATACCATTTTTCATTGTTATATTTTCTCTGAAGAAACTTACTACAGAATGTATATTCAGCATGCTTTGCTAAATTGTTTTGGCAGCTTACATGAAATGTGCTCTCCTCGATAGTATTCTAAAACAAATATGTTACAATTCTTGTATACCCGGGTTTGTGAATATGCTTTCAACATTTCTCCTTCTCCATTTTAACAGAACCCCGAGTTCCACATAACTGAGGAGCCCAAGGGAAAAAAGGAAAATCTGCTCAACTCTGAGAGGCCGATTAGGGTCTTAAGGAAGACTAGCCACTCACAAGGAGAGGATGGAGCTTTGGGTAAGCCCACAAGGCCACAAACAATTAAGCTAAGTGAAAAACATGAAGGAACTAAGACCGTTTTTAAGAAGTTCAGCGAAAGGAAATGGCCATTGGACATCCGCCCTTTAAACAAAAGTTTAGTCAAAGACAACCAGTGGAAGGAAACAGATGTGGCCCAGGAGACACGCAGGTCTTTCCTTCAGGAGTTTTGCAAGAAATATGGTGGGGTGAGTCGTCCTCAGTCACATCTTTTTCATATGGTATCCAGGATCTATGTGGAAGATAAACACAAAATCTTATATTGTGAAGTACCCAAGGCTGGCTGCTCCAACTGGAAGAGAATTCTGATGGTACTAAGTGGGTTGGCTTCCTCTGCATACAACATCTCCCATGATGCTGTTCACTACGGGAAGCATTTGAAAAAACTAGATAGCTTTGACTTAAAAGGGATATATTCTCGTTTGAACACCTACACCAAAGCTGTTTTTGTTCGTGATCCCATGGAAAGGTTAGTGTCCGCATTTAGGGACAAATTTGAACACCCCAATAGCTATTACCATCCGGTATTTGGGAAGGCGATTATAAAGAAATATCGGCCAAATGCCTGTGAAGAAGCACTAAATAATGGATCAGGAGTCAAATTCAAAGAGTTTGTCCACTATTTGCTGGATTCCCACCGTCCCGTAGGAATGGACATTCACTGGGAAAAGGTCAGCAAACTCTGCTATCCGTGTTTGATCAACTATGATTTTGTAGGGAAATTCGAAACTTTGGAAGAAGACGCCAATTACTTTTTACAGCTCGTGGGCGCTCCAAAAGGGCTGAAATTTCCAAACTTTAAGGATAGGCACTCTTCGGATGAAAGAACCAATGCTCAGGTAGTGAGACAATATTTAAAGGATCTGACTAGAACTGAGAGACAATTAATCTATGACTTTTATTACTTGGACTATTTGATGTTTAATTATACAACTCCATTTTTGTAGTTTGCATTCATTTTCTAAAACCCTGTATTTACTCCATGATGATGGCCTCCAATCAGCTAACTGTAATTTTCCTACAATTCTCCGTGTGAGAGAGAATTTAACTAAGTGTAGTTGTCTCGATTTAATGAAGATTTTTCCCAAAGAGTATGACACCAATTGGCACAAAGTTTTAGGAAAATTACCTTACAGAGATGTGTAAACAACTTGACTTGCTCTAAAATGTTTGGGAAATAGCTGCTTTTGCATTATGGATTATATTATAGAAGCAATAACCTAGCCAGCTGCTACATTAGCTTCAATAGCCTCTTGCAATGATAGGAAAAGGGATCTAAAATAGCATGAGTATATGTCTACATTCTGGAATTTGTTGTCTAAAGTGCATGGATATATTTTTAGCAGTCTGTGACATACTATTTGAACATTGGAGAGTTTTCTTACACCCTGGAAGTCTTTCTGTCGACTGCAGTGATAAACCAATTTTGAAATAATATTTTGGACCTAGGCATTTAACTTTAGATTGGAAGGCATATGTGATTTACAATATGAGAATATAGCAGAAAAACCAGATAAGGCTATGGCTTTTTATATTCAACAGCCAATAAAAAATGCACAACATGCTAAGATCAAAGCAACAAAAACAACCTTCCTCTTCCAGAAAAACTTTAGGGAATTGATTCTGTTTTCTTTTGAGCCCTCTGTGCAGAGACAGAATGAACATAACCGCTAAAAGTCTTCTCTTCTGAAGCAGGCGGTTGAGAAGTTTAAGCCTCATCAGATATAAATGTGCTCCTAATTCTGGTTTAATTGGGCAGGGGGAAAATTGTTTCAGGATGGAATAATCATCAAAAACAAAAGTTGCCACTCTGAATGTAGGCCTCAAACAATAACAAAGTTTTATAAGAATATTATTTGAATCAAAGCATCATGTGCATAGCTTTCTATGTGGAATGTGATCTAAGAATAGCTTTTGTTTCCAGTCTAATTACTTAGCTTGGGAATGACTTTTTAAAAACTCATATACCACTTCAAAGATAGGTTATATTCTAGAGAATAAACAAAACAAGAGCCCCTAGAAACATTTTTAATAGGCTTATGCATAAACAAATTAAGGTATTTTGTTTTTAAGTTTAAATATTCTATACTAACAGAGTCAGATACCACTGCATTCATATATTAAATCAAAGTTTTTGGAAAATAGGACCAGGTGGCACCCCTATCAAAAGTTGTAATGCATTTTGGAAATTTTTTCCAACGGACCCTAAATTTGGATGGGGAACTTATTTTAATTGGCTGACTATTACCTTGAGTTAAGAAAACCACATGTCATTCAAACCCGGTTTAAATGCAGCTCTTGAACATGTTCTTCTTCCCAAGCGATCTTTGCTTCTCATCAGTAAATACTCAGTAACGTGTCTCAGAAAAAAGTAGGTATTAATATTTAAATATTAATAGACCAAGCTAGTTACAGTTGTACTTATTTCATTCTGATTTTCCATTTCATGGCTGAGTATTCATAAATTGCTTCCCTCAACACATACCTGCCTTGTCCCATCTGTGTCTCCCAATGAGTACGTAACTGCAGCGGGCTCCCAGATCATAACTATTAAAACTTTCAAGCCAACCTTTTACTACTTTCCACTCCATTTACTCTTGCCTCTAGACCATACACTTAGGCTGTGCTCTCTGTTTTTAAGGAGTTTTACTCTAGAGTAATCTAAATCATATAATTTAAATTTTGCCATACCATGTAGAGTGGACTCCTTGTAACTTGGAGACATTGAAATTATCTTTTTATGGAGGAAGAGAGGGAACATAAACTATGCCAAGAAGCCTGAAATTTTACTCCTAAACTACAAAAAGAAAAGCTAGTTTTCGATGGGATCTACTATAAAGTACAGAAGAAATTTTCTCAACGTTATTCCTAAAACCTTATAAGGAACAACAACAACAAAAAAAACCTGTTCATAACTTTGAAAGAAAAAATGGAAACAAGTATCCTATCTTTCTCTTATTAGCATTTCTACTGCATTTATGAGGATGGAATATATATGTGGAATACACACACAGACACAAACATGTTTGTATATGTATGCACACACACACACACACACACAAATATATCCATAATACTGTTTGGCACTGGAGGGAGAGAAGAGGGCTGATGCTCTCTATCAAAGCTGTTCTATGCCTTTTGCTGTATATTCTCCTTTCCACTGAGCCTGTGTAACCAGAGGTGGTCCTTCAGTCATTCTCTTCCTGAAAGACTCCGATACCAGCAGGCATCCTGTGTGGCTGTGAGTTCCCAAGGCCACATGTTAAAAAGGTTTTATGAAGGGGTGCCTAGGCGGCTCAGTCGGTTGAGCGGCTGACTCTTGGTTTCAGCTCAGGTCATGATTTCAGGGTTGTGAGATCGAGCCCCACATTGGGCTCCACATTCAGTGGGGAGCCTGATTGAGGATTCTCTCCCTCTGCGCCTCCCCCCACACTCTTTCTCTCTCTCTCTAAAATAAATAAATATATCTCTTTTTAAAAAAGGGGGGGGTTATGAAGGAAGAACACATTTTTTATGTACCTACTCTTCTTTTAAATGACTTCTGTTCATGGCAGGGACGAAGAAGCCAGTCATCATCTTGGATTCCTTGTGATGTTAAATACCTTTTCCATTTATCGTTTCTGAATTACTCTGCTTTGCAGACCAGCTCACATTCACCATTGTCGTTTCTGCCTGTGCATAAGCCCCAGGTGTGAGCATCATGCTCCTTTGGACGGTCAAAATTTCATGGATTTACATTCCTAAAGGCAAGTAACCAAATCTAGACTCATCTTCCAGATGTCCAGTGTTCACATTCTAACACTAACATGCTCTAGGTATAATTATAAGTTCTCTAATTAAACCCTAAGGGTCTTATTTGTTTTTAGAGGCAGCGGTAACAACCGCGATGGGTCTCATCACTCTGTTATTTCCCTGCCTGGAATTACTAGCACAGTAAAAGCTGGCAATTAAATCCAAACTCACAGTTACTTGACATGGTAAACCATCTATGGATATGTGTGGTTGATGTGATTGTGCCCGGGAACTGTCATAAATTTCAATGGAAATGCATATACAGGACACTCAACTCTCTAATTTTCTCACACATGTTTGGAAATATCCTTTAAGTCGATAGAAGTGCGGCTACTTGCTAAATTCTCTAACTTCACAGGGTATAAAATATTATCTAGCAATTCAAGAGCTACTTGGATACCATTTATAATTAGGAAGAGGAAAAAAACTTTTCCACTTTACATATGAATAATTACTCATCAAAGAAGTACTGTCTCCTAAAATATATAGTGTTTCGCTGAAAAGAATATATAAGCAGATGCAGGGAATTTTAAATATGAGTTCCCTTTGAAAGATCATTTGCAGAATTGGTAGAACCTGGAATCCATAGGCTGAGGCTACTGTAAACATCTCCCTACTCTAAGTTCTCGCTTGACCTCTTGGGGTGTCTTGAGCCTCCAGGCTTTCATGGAATATGGCAAAGCAGAAACTCTGCCATGCCTAACATCCCCAACATCCTCTGAAATTTGAAAGATGGTTGCCCTTAGGCCTTAAAGAGTAGCTCAATCACCTGAGGACCTTAAACCAAGGCTAGTTTAGTCCTACCTCTAGGGGCATACCTTTTTAATCTCAACCATAATCATTATAATACTATTCATGATAATAATCAAACGTTTATTCCTTTATTTAATCTCCATAGTCAATCTAAGATGCTATGTAGGCCCATGTGCGCGCATGCGCACACACACACCCACACAATAATATAATAAAGAAAACTAGGGGCGCCTGGGTGGCTCAGTTGGTTAAGCATCTGCCTTCGGCTCAGGTCGTGATACCAGGGTCCTGAGATCGAGCCCCATGTTGGGCTCTCTCCTCGGCGGGGAGCCTGTTTCTCCCTCTCCCTCTGCCTGCCACTCCCCCTGCTTCTGCTCCCCGCCTCCAATAAATAAAATCTTTTAAAAAAGAAAGAAAACTAAAGCAGAGTGGTTGAGTGACTTGCCTAGTCACACCTGGCGCGGTGCCTGGGTGGCTCAGTCAGTTAAGCAGCCAACTCTTGGTTTCGGCTCATGTCTCATCTCACGGTCATAAGATCAAGCCCCATGTCCAGCTCCCCGCTCACCACGGAATCTGCTTGAGTTTCTCCCTCCCTCTTCCTCTGCCCCTCCCCCCGTCTCTCTCTGTCTCTCACTGAAATAAATAAATAACTCCTTGAAAAAAAATAAAAAGAATCACAGCTGGTAATTAGGATTGGGAGCTGGAATGAATCCAAGCAGCAAAAACCACCACCAAACTCTCTTCTTGGTTTGAAAACAGCTAATGGCAAGAAACAAATATTGGCATCTCGAAACTTTTTTGATGCAAATATAGGTATTTGTGTGTGACACGTGTGTGTGTGTGTGTGTGTGTGTGTATTTAGCTGGTTATCGCATTTCAAATCAGCTCATCCCTTTAGTCCTGATGAGTTAAACTGACAGATTCAAAGACTTTGTAAGAAATTAAGCTTTCTTCCCCCTTTTTTTAAAATTCCCAGTTGATCATGGAATACAGTGTAAGAAAAAAAAAGTCCCTGGAACATATTTAGCATAACAAAAACAAAATATCATTTTGACAAGAAAGTCCAGACAGCTACAAGAGCGGGCAAGGTCAAGGAGAATATAGTCCAAAGAGGGAGGGAGTCTGGCCAACTTACCCCCAATCGGCACTTGAAGATGGTCATGGTTCATTAGTTTCTGCCAAGAGAAAGCTCCTTAAATACTGCTAGGAAGTACGCGATCGTGTATTGTCTCTTTCCTGAGCTCCCGTCCCCAGTACTAGGTTAGTTGTTAGATAACCCTAAACTGACTCAGGAAGATTATAGAAGAGTAGAGAGGAGCAGCTTGACTCAAACTAACCGAAAAACACCCTGAAAAGTTCAAGATAAACAAGTGCTCGGCTAGAAGAGGGCAGACTTTCCCAGGTCTTCCGTCGGGATAGCCCACATGAGGAAGGCCAAGTCTGGGGAACTCAGCAAAAGGGTGTTGCCTCACATCATTTAGTTCCCAGAGTTGCCTGGTCACACACACATCTTACCCACAATCATATCCTTGCAGGCATATTCAAATCCTTTTAAGCAATCCTTTTTCCATCTCTAAGCCTTTGTTCAAGTCTTAACTCTATTTTGAAATACTCTCTTCTCTCATATCTAGACATTCATTTCATGTTAAGTCACCAAGGAATCTCTTTAGATTATTCAGTTTTGCAACCTCATTACTTCATGAGCTCTCCGATCAATAGAAAAAGGCAAAATGATTTTCCCCTGATGTGACATGCATCAGATTCTTCTTTTACCAATAAATGCAGGCATTCCTTCTCTTCCTTTTTTTTTTTTTGCTTCATTTATTCATTTGTTCATTTGCTACATCCCTCTTCATATGCATATAAAATCTCTGTTGCCATTGGAATATGTTCTAGGTCTTCCAAGAGGAAAGGAAGTGTGTCTATTTAATTCGCTTTGCACTGTTACTAGCACAGCCCTGCATGGAAAGGAAGAGTTCTTGGCTCAGTCGTTAAGCGTCTGCCTTCAGCTCAGGTCATGATCCCAGGGTCCTGGGACCCAGCCCCACATCGAGCTCCCTGCTCCGAGGGAAGCCTGCTTCTCCCTCTCCCACTCCCCCTGCTTGTGCTCCTGCTCTCACTATCTCTTTCTCTCTGTCAAACAAATAAATAAAATCTTTAAAAAAAAAGAGTTCTTGATAAATATTCTTGACAATATAGTTTAACGGTTCTTCTACCGCGTTTCTTAGTGTATAATATGTGCATTATTGCCTTATGACTATACGGTCACTGGATCTAAAGAAAAAGCACTAAAGCCGGGCAATTGGGGGAAGTTATCAAGGCCACGTGCCTTCTCCATCCTAATAGTCACCCCTTAACTAGAAGTATAGCTGTGGACACAGCAATCCTTCACATTTCCAAGATGACATATTTGTTTATTTGGTTTGGGGTGTAAATGTTGAAAAAAGGTATGATTCTGGTCAATCTGAAAGCCATTTACTGAGCAGGGAACAGACACTGGAAAATTACTTTACATACATTCATTTAATGACATGAAGAGTAGGTCTAATCCTTCCCCCAAAAAAGCAAAAGTTCGATATTATTCCACCTGTCATTTTATGAATGAGAAGACCGAGGGTCAGAGAGGTTTCATGACTAGCCGCGGAGTCAGCTTCCTACTAGGGTCTCTCTGGCTGCAAAGCTGAAACCACACGCAGCAGCCTACGGGCCAGATCCAGCCACAGATACATTTGGTTTGGCCTACAGGGCATTTTACCT